TGTTTATATCACAAACACATATGATCAAGAAGGAGTACATTATAAATACATGAAATATTATCTACAAAAGAAATTAATGGACTTAAAAACTAAAGAATACACTTTTAAAGGTTTCATTTATCTGGATCACTTTATATAACACAGCAACTAATGTCAAATAGCAGTAAGAAAATGAACAGTCTTTCTTCCATAAGAAGCTGTTCATACAACCTCTAAAGCTGAAGCGCCACTGTTTATAAAAAAATTGAGCAAATGACCTAGGGATCAGTTCCCCTGAGTATAAAATGAAATGTGTTAAAAGAAAGATAGGGTTGGACCTAGATATTTTCAAGTAGTGTTTCCAGAACCACCAAGATTCCACAGAGGGGCTTCAGGAGTGGGAGATGGGAGGACAAACCACCCTTCCTCACAATTTCAACTCTGCCTTTACCTACTTCACATATTTTATTCTTAGAAAATACGAATTATTTACTTCTTTAAAAATGAGACACTGGCCGGGCATGGTGGCTCATGTCTGTAATCCCAGCACTTTGGGAGGCTGAGGCGAGTGGATCACATGAGGTCAGGAGTTCAAGACCAGCCTGGACAATAGGGTGAAACCCTTTCTCTACTAAAAATGCAAAAATTAGCTGGGTGTGTGGTGGGCACCAGTAATCCCAGCTACTCGGGAGGCTGAGGCAAGAGAAGTTCTTGAAGCTGGGAGGCACAGGCTGCAGTGAGCCGAGATAGTGCCCCTGCACTCCAGCCTGGGTGACAAAACAAGACTCCATCTGAAAAGGAAACAAACACTGTAGTCCAAGCTACATTTCATAGTACAGTGGTGGGGCAGTACAGCTATCATCTTAACTACTTTAACCTAAAACAGTACTGTAAAATGAGGTTGCCAAGGTTAAAAAATTTGTGAATTAGCCACAACACAGTTAGGAAGGAGAGTGGTGGAGAGTGGAATCTATGAAATTACAATGTGCTCCAATGTCTGAGGACACTGTTTTTAAAGAAGAAGCCACTCAGGGTAGTAAACTCCAAAGTGCTGTAAACTAAGCTATCAAAAGCACTTATTTAAAAAATGTGCATGTAACACTGCATAAAGCAGAAATTGCTTTCTAGAAGGATAAAGATCTGAAGATATATATAAATAAAAAGTACAAATGCTTAAAGAGTAATACAAGAAAATGTGGGAGTTATACAATGTAAGTAAAGAACTCACTCATCCCATTAATAAAGTAAAGCTTCATGAAGAATTTCAGGTGAAATTTACTTAAAAAACTGAAGAGGTTAAGATAATCATCTACATTAGTCTAAAAATTATGAGAAAAGACATCCTAGTTTTGTCATGATACTTTACAGAACACTTAGCAGTTTCTATAATGCTTTAACTTACTTGCCAACCCATGCTGTTTCTTTTGTTATCTTGCTCTATCACTTGCATAGTGCAATTTCTTACAAAGGGGTATACATTTATTGCTTCCATTTCTTTTCCCACCTTCAAGTCAATGACTCCTGGGCCCACGCAGTCTGGTTTCACATCCTATCCCACTCCTTAAAATAACTTCACTGCAAATTAACTTTTTAAGTCTTTTCTCTCAATCTTTGAGCACTATTTACCATTCCCCAATTCTTGAAAGTACATTCTCTCTCCTGGGGCTTCTATACTGCTACATTTTCCTGGTTAGCCTAACTACCACGCCTTCAGATGTTAGTTCCAATTCCTGTGAATTTCTGTGGTAAGTCCTGCCTGATCAAAAACTGGGTTAGATATCCCTAAAACACGTTCCCACCATATCATATCTTTGTATTTGCCCTCTCAAATCACTTACCATTCTGAATATGTCACCTTGCTACTTATCTGCCCAACTAATGTGCAAATTATTTGAAGTTAGGAATTACATATTTATTCTCCATTGTTTCTTAGAATAGTGTCCAGTATGTTCAATGAATAGTAGGTTCTCCATCATCAGTTACAAGTACAAAACAAAAAATGTATACTGTAAATCTCAAATCATGATTCTGAATTCTAGTTTGTTGAGACTGTTAGATAATACCAAAAACAGTGAGAAAGTTATAGTGGGTATTTCTAACCAGCTAGCATCAGTACTCAAATTAGAGTTGAAATTTAAATAAAGAACACACTGTCTATGATAGAGCAGGAGGAAAAACACTAAGAAGTAAGGAAACCTTGTATAACTTGGGAGAAATTATCTGGGTCTTAGTATTACCTCACAGAAGCATTTAAACTGTAAGCACTATATAAATGTCAATTGGCAAAGAGAATCTGTTAAAGACAAAAAAAAATAGTCAAAACACAAATTTAGTGTATTTTAACAGTAGTACTGACCTTTTTTTAATATTCAAATTAGAATGGTGATTTAAGGTAAGAAAAATGATACAATTCTCAGACTGGAAGAAAACTGAAAGAATATCGTATTCAACTCATAAGAAAGAAAAAGAAACCGCCAGGCACGATGACTTATGCCTGTAATCCCAGCACTGTGGGAGGCCAAGGTGGGTGGGTCACCTGAGATAAAAGGTTCAAGACCAGCCTGGCCTGGTGAAACCCTGTCTCTACTAAAAATATAAAAATTAGCTGAGCATGGTGGCAGGAGCCTATATTACCAGCTACTTGCGAGGCTGAGGGAGGAGAATCACTTGAACCAGGGAGGCAGAGGTTGCAGTGAGCCAAGACCACACCATTGCACTGCAGCCTGGGCAACAAGAGCAAAACTCTGTATCAAAAAAAAAAAATAAGAATTGCCCGAACCCAGGAGGCAGAGGTTGTGGTGAGCCGAGATGGCACCATTGCACTCCAGCCTGGTTAACAAGAGCGAAACTGCGTCTCAAAAAATATAAATAAATAAAAATAAAAATAAAAGAAAGAAAAAATAAAAAGCACAGTGGATCACACCTATAATGCCAGCACTTTCAGAGGTTAGGTGGGTGGACTGCTTTAGCCCAGATAAGTTCCAGACTAGCCTGGGAAACAGGGTAAAACCCTATCTCTTTAAAAAAAAAAAAAAAAGAAAAATCAACCAGACATGGCGGCATGTGCCTGTGGTCCCAACTACTTGGGAGGCTGAGATGAGACTCACTTGAGCCCAGGAGTTTGAGGCTGCAGTGATCACACCAGTGCACTCCAGCCTGCACAACAGAGCAAGACCATCTTAAAGAAAGATAGGTAAGAAGAAAGAAAAATCCAGTGAGATTAAATGGCTTACCTCTCCCTAAAGCCAAAAATTTCATGTTAGTGTTATGATCAGAACTTTGAGAATTCAAAAATTCACTTCACCACTACCCTACTAAATAACTCGCTGATCATTTCATTTCTCTAAGAGTACTTCATTTTCTTTAAAACTTTTCTCATCACTTGTACATGTGCACAAGTTAACTCCCTGCAAATGGACCCCATTAGAGATACACATATACAACTCTAAGATAAAGAATGAAAATCCTTCAATATAAATATAATATTAGCCAGGCTTGATGGTGCATGTCAGTAGTTCCAGCTTCTTGGGAGGCTGATGGAGGGGGATCACTTAAGCCCAAGAGTTTGATGGAGGCTATAGTACACTATGATGAATATAGGTACACTCCAGCCTGGGTAGCATAGTGAAACCCCATCAACCAGTCAATCGTTAAAATAATGGTGTCAAAGACTTGATATGTGGTAATTATAAGAAAGAGCTGCTTAAGTACTAAAGCAGAGAATATAGACAAGATAGTTATAATTATCACAGAATTCGGTTATTTCTTAGATCTCTTAAGACATCTTAAGACTAAGCTTCCTTAGTAAACACTCAAGTAAATCATCAAGTAAGTAAATCATCTCAGTTCAATAAATTTTATTTTATATTTTGAGATGGATTCTTGCTCTGCCACCCAGGCTGGAGCAGAGTGGCACAATGTTAGTTCACTGCAACCTCTGCCTTCCAGGCCCAAGCAATTCTCAAGCCTCAGACTCCCAAGTAGCTGGGATTATACGCATGCACCACCATGCCCAGCTAGTTTTTTTGTATTTTTCATTTAGACAGATTTTTGCCATGTTGGCCAGGCTGGTATCAAACTCCTGGCCTCAAGTGATCCGCTCCCCTTAGCCTCCCAAAGTGCTGGGATTATTGGCATGAGCCACTGAGCCTAGCTTTATTCAGTTCAATAAATATTTAAGAAGGATATTTGTACTTAAGGGATTAACATCAGTTATTTGGTTCTCTTCCTATATCACAGGTTCTGTTCCAACTCTGTCCCAACATGCCAATTTAACAATCTCCATTTGCATGGATCTGTATAAGTGAAAATTTTATCTTTTGAAAAATTCTAAGAGTTCCCTAGCAAATAGTGTTAAAGATGTGTTTCCAGATATTAAAAAAAAAACTTAAAGTTTAAATTTATTTTAATTTGGATGAGAAACACTTCTACTCACTGCCTACCTATTACACAATTCTCCCTATGGTGATAAAATAAACTCCAGAAAGGTTTAGGTCTCTAGTGACAACTTGGATAAGTTGCTGCTTTAAAAAACAAATGGGGGGCTGGACATGGTGGCTCATGTCTGTAATCCCAGCTCTTTGGGAAGCCGAGGCGAGTGGATCACCTGAAGTCAGGAGTTCAAGATCAGCCTAGCCAACATGGTGAAACCCCGTCTCTACTAAAAAAGAAAAATTAGCTGGACGTGGTGATACATGCCTGTAATCCAGCTACTTGGGAGGCTGAGGCATGAGAATTGCTTGAACCAGGAAGGCGGGGGTTGCAGTGAGCCAAGATCACGCCAATGCACTCTAGCCTGGTGACAGAGCTAGACTCCCTCTCAAAAAAAAAATTGGGATTGGAGGTAGGAGGAACCAAGCTCTTACTCTTTTTCTTCCTTTCCTCATCCTAAATACATTGATAGGTTCTGGCTTATAGGCACTACTCCAAGACACATGGATTTTCCTTTGTTTAAATAATGGAAGTTGATTTACTCTCTGAAATACAAAGTCAGCATTAGCCTTAAACTACCAGATACTCACTGAATTCAAGCAGGACAGTTCAAGTAGCAGATCTGACAAGGCATATCCTGTGCTGATGACCTTGTATCCATCTGGTGTATCTGAGACTTTTTACTTGGATTAATTACATGACACTCAGCCAAGAGCTTCTCCGGGTTTCCATCAAAGTACCTACATGCTTTAAACAGAAAGGATAAAAGCCCAGCAACTGCACACTGTTAAAGCTCTCCAAAAATCTGATTTTCTACAGGGAAAAGCAAGAAGCTGAATGAAAATAAAACATTAATCCTTTTACTCATAGGAAATAAAAGCTATATGGGACAAATTACAGCAAATAAAAGGTATGTGCATATAAATACTACAAGCAGCAAAAGAAAAATCAGCAAAACTGTTCTCATATTGTGTATGTGTGTGTGTGTGTATGCATATATATATGAGTAAACTAGTAGAATAAATTTTTTTGCTTTTTTAAAATTGTTTTTAAATAATTGAATCCTGGAAGTTAAGCTATTAGTAGTTTAACAGTACTACAACTAAAACTTTAGAATTAAAGTAAGCTGTGCTGTTCCAATGGGTACCTATGAAGAGTAATATCTTACATAGCTGACTATATTTTATACAAATGAATTCATTTTATTAATTTTAGTTAAAGCAATTAAACATATTAGTTTTAGTAAAGCATTTATCTTACCCCACAAATCATCTTAAAAAATGAAATCATTATGTGTCTCATTCTACATAATAGAACTGCTTTCTAAATACACTTTTGAAATATTTTTATTTTACTGAGAAAGGAGAAAAAATAAAAAAGTATATCTTCAAACACCTTATATTAAATAAATTACATATTAGCTTTTCATAACATATGTATCTAGGCTGGGTGTGGTGGCTCACACCTGTAATCCCAGCACTTTGGGAGGCAGAGGAGGGCAGAACACAAGGTCAGGAGTTCGAGACAAGCCTGGCCAATATGGTGAAACCCTGTCTCTAATAAAAGCACAAAAATTAGCCAGGCATGGTGGCAGGCACCTGTAGTCCCAGCTACTCGGGAGGCTGAGGCAGAAGAATCGCTTGAACCTGGGAGACAGAGGTTGCAGTGAGCTGAGATTACACCACTGCACTCCGGCCTAGGCAACAGAGTAAGACTCCATCAAAAAAATAAAAATAAAAATAAAATAAAATATGTATCTAAATATAGAATAGTTCAATATCTAAAATATCAAGAGTATAGTATGCCAACTACTATCTAGAGTTTTAATAGCAAACCTCTTGACAGAAGATAGTAGTCAGAAGTAGACCTTAAGAAAGGAGGAGGGGAATATAGTAGTAACTACTTAGCACAATGTTTCCCATTAATTCAGATGAGACATGGTCCCTGGCCTCCTAAAATAGCTTACTATTCTTAAGGCCAAAGCAATAAATTTTAAAAAATTCAATCTGTGAAATCAATATAACCAGCAAAAATATTAATGTACAATCTGGTCAACTGCTTTTTGGCTTGTAAAGCCCAGGTTCAATAACTATAATGCTCTTTATATACAAATAGGAGATTTTCAATCAATACTCAGAAGAAATTTCCAATATTTTTAATGAAGATCTTATTTAGGTTTTGTGTCAAAGGCTACTATATCTTACTGTACCCTCCAGAAAAATAATTCAAATGAGAACAAACCATATCACTTCTCCTACCACTAATAAATATCTTTTTTATAAATACTTTGACTACAGCATATTTCAATGAAATCATATTATCAATCAAAATGCCAACACATTATAAAAAGGACTATCAGGAAGTTACAGTTGTTAGGAACTCACACAAATAGAAAGTTAATGTCTCTTAATGTCTCTGATGATTCAGATAATCAGAGTATATCTACAGCAGAAAATCAAATGCTTTCCTATAAATTCTATCTCTGAGAAAACGTAGTCTGAGCATGGTGGCTCACACCTACAATCCCAGCACTTCTGGAAGCCAAGGCGGGTGGATCACTTGAGATCAGGAATTCAAGACCAGTCTGACCAATGTGGTGAAACCCTGTCTCTACAAAAACTACAAAAAATTAGCTAAGCATGGTGGTAGGTGCCTGTATTCCCAGCTACTCGGGAGACTGAGGCATGAGAACTGCTTAAACCCAGGGGGCAAGGCTGCAGTGAGCCAAGATGCTGCCAATGCACTCCAGCCTGGGCAACAGGACAAGACTGTCTCAAATTAATAAAAACTAAAAGTAAAAAATAATATAAAATATCAAGTTTTACCTGAAAAACTGAAAGCATAAGAGACTAACACTAAATATGAATTCCATTCTAGCTTGTTGTTAAGAATCCAGTGTGCATGCCATGTCTACTTTGTAAAGTTAGCACTGCTGTCATGCATTACAACATGGTTGTTTACAATTCTATGTCCCATTAGAACCCAGCTATCCTAGGCCCAGCAGGGCGGCTCACGCCTGTAATCCCAGCACTTTGGGAGGCCGAGGCAAGCAGATCATGAGGTCAGGAGATCGAGACCATCCTGGCTAACATGGTGAAACCCCATCTCTACTAAAAACATAAAAAAGTAGCTGAGCGTGGTGGTGTGCAACTATAGTCCCAGCTACTCGGGAGGCTGAGGTAGGAGAATCGCTTGAACCCAGGAGGCGGAGGTTGCAGTTAGCCAAGATCATGCCACTGCACTCCAGCCTGGGTGACAGAGACTTTGTCTTAAAAAACAACAACAACACAAACAAAATCCAGCTGTCCAAAAGAAACTATCAACACAGTAAAGACAACCTACAAAACGAAAGAAAATATTTGCAAAACATGCAGATCTAATATCCAGGATCTATAAGGAACTTAAGCATATTTACAAGAAAAACACAACCCCATTAAAGTGGGCAAAGGACATAAATGACACTTTTCAAAAGAAGACATACATGCAGCCAACAAGCATGTGAAAAGAAAACTCAGTATTACTGATTAGAGAAATGCAAATTAAAACCACAATGAAATACCACCTCACACCAGTCAGAATGGCTAACAACTCAAAAATTAACACATGCTGGCGAGGCTGCAGAGAAAAGGGAATGCTTATATACTGTTGATGGGAATGATTAGTTCAACCATTGTGAAAAGCAGTGTGGTAATTCCCCAAAGAACTAAAAACATAACCACCATTAGACCCAGCAATCCCATTACTGGGTATATGCCCAAAGGAATAGAAACCGTTCTACCATATAAACATACGCATGTGTATGTGTGCACTGCAGCACTATTCACGATAGTGAGGATATGAAATCCACCTAAATGCCCATCAGTGGTAGACTGGATAAAGAAAATGTAAAAATACACCATGGAATACTACACAGCCATACAAAAGAATGAGATCATGTCCTCTGCAGCAACATAGATGGAGTTAGAGACCATAATCCTTAGCAAACTAATACAGGACAGAAAACCAAATACTGCATGTTCTCACTCTAAGTAGGAGCAAAATGATGAAAACACACAGAGATGTAGAGGGAAACAGCAGACACTAAAGCTTATTTGAAGGAAGGTAGAGGGTGGGAGGATAGGGAGACCAGAAAAAAAGAACTACTGGGTACCAGGCTTAGTACCTGGGTGATGAAATAATCTGTACAACAAACCCCCATGACACACGTGCGCCTATATAACAAAATGCACATGTACCCCTGAACCTAAATAAAATTTTAACAAGAGAGAGATGGAGTCTCACTGTTTTGCTCAGGCTGGACTCCCAACTCCTGGGCTCAAGCAAACTTCTCCTTTAGCCTCCTAAGTAGCTAGGACTCCAGGTGTGTACCATCACATCCAACTTTAGTCTTTTTATTCTGATGTTTTGACATTTGGGGCCTTACTGACCCTGGGGAGACTGCCCCTCCCAGGGTCAGTTAATTCCTACATATTACCCCTACAAGACTGCCTTCTGTATGCAGTCTAACCAATCCAGTGTCCATATTCTTAACTGCCTCCTTTATTGGGCTCTGACACTAGGCAAATATTCCCCAGTCCTAGTCACCCAAGATTCAGGTAGCAGACACCTAGAGATAGCCTATACCCCAGAACCCACTGAAATTACTCAAACTCGCCAATCCTCAACCTGCTTAGCCTGCTTTCCCAGTCTTGCCCTGCAGAAGGCATTTCGTCAGATGAAAACCACAATAAAGGATCGTGCCCACACTTACGCCTTGCTCCCTCCACCTCCTGATTGACTCTGTGCTTCCCTCATGTGGCATGCCCTCCTTCTCAGGAATTGTAACAGATTATCTTTCCAATGGCAGTTGTCTTCTGATCTGTTGCTCATACCATATCAGAGTAATAATAATAAAACCCCTGGTCAACATGGTGAAACCCCGACTCTACTAAAAATACAAAAAATTAGCTGGGCATGGTGGCACGTGCCTGTAATCCCAGCTACTCAGGAGAATGAGGCAGGAGAATTGCCTGAACCCAGGAGGCGGAGGTTGCGGTGAGCCAAGATCACACCATTGCACTCCAGCCTGGGTAACAAGAGCGAAACTCCATCTCAAAAAAGTAATAATAATAATAATAAAACCTATGTGTTTTTTAAAAAAGTTATCTTTGTATACAGGCAACTCTCAAATAACCATGCCTCAATTGCTTTTGCAAGCTTTCACTTATAAATAAGAACCCCACAGTAATGAACAAAAAGCTCCTGGAAGACCACTGCCAAATGAGGACATGGAAATCTGCTTTGGGTCTTACATTTAGTAAGTAAACGTATATGGAGAAAATATTTCATAGGAATACTATTTAGCCAGTAATTTAAAATTAAATGGCTTTGTATAATTTTTAAAGTGTTTAATTCTAACTTATTTCTATGATCATTTTAATATTTGCATGGTATAAATGGAGTTTCAGGAAGAGAATGGCATTCTACACAACATGCTCAGAAGAGGTAAGAGTTTCAACATAAGGTAGCTTGACTTGCCAATTATAATAACAACAATATTGATAGTAATAGACCAGTTATATAACCACAATAAAACCAACAGTTTTCAAAAATCAGTGTTTCAACAAAACCACTATTATTTATTGAGTGTTTAATCAAGCAATCCTCACACTAGGCCTAGGTACATATAGTAAGTAGGAGAAGCAGGGTCCCCACCTAAAACCTAAGCTCTTAACACTTGCTGTCTGTAACTTAGTTGGACTCAATGCATATATAAACGAATTGTCATGGCAAGGGGAAAAAAATTGGTAAAAGGTGAACTAGGGATTATCTTTATTTAACCTGTTGGTCTTTGAGTGGAATTCCATCATGTTAGAAACAATCAAGTTCCTTTGTCATCGTTTTCTATTTAAGCTCCAGAACAGTAATCCAGATTCCTATAGGATCTAAGAAAATGGCTTCTATGAGACATCCACTGATCTCCTATGATTTGAATCCATTTTTCCCTCATTACAAATGGCAGAGAGAGTTTTCCACATAAATGTTTCTTACCTGCCAAGAGCATGCAGAGCTCCCCCATCTTTGGCTTGAAGTTGGTGGCTGCACTGAGAAAATGAAAAGCTGACGCATACTGCTGCATGGTCAAATGGACAAGGCCCACATTATACAGAATCTTCCAATCGAAGGGTGCCAAGAAGTTGGCTCATTTCAGGCAACTGATGACCTATGAGAGAGAAGAAGCAGTCAATGAGGGAGTGGGGCAAGCTAAGCAGACCCAATAACCACATGTATGCATGCAAACAAAGAACATGAGGGGACACTGACTGCCACATATTTCTTCTTGCTGAAGAAACACATTCCAATGTTATTCCAGAGTAGAGGACTTTCTAGAACAGCACAAGCCACAACTCTGTATTTGGTGAGGAAAACATCAAAGTCCCCGTGGGTCATGATGCCTGCTGCCAAGATGGCCTGAAAACGTGGCACATAGAAAGTAATTCAGTCATTCCCAAAAGGCTGTAGCAGTGAGGCAGCCTTACTGAGTCTATAGACATTCAGCAGGCCCAGCAGCACAGATGGGACTGAAAAATTTCTTCCAGGGACATAAACAATATAGCCAAGCTATTAGGACAAATGTTCCTGAGGAATGTCCTTGCACCCTACACTGTGGCTCTGTTTGCAGAGCACAAAAAAAGATAAAATATTACTTGCTTTACCCATCTAATTTGTTTCCTACTTCTAGCCAGGAAAGTCAGTATTTCAGAATGAATACCAGGGCCCTTTAAGTAAAACCTTAATTAATCTGTTCTCTGCAGCCCCTATTTGGTACACTAAGTGTTCTAGACACCTAAAATACACCCATACATAGCTATTTAAGGTACATTTCTTCCTACAACAGAGGCTGAGTAAGCTTTAAGCTTCGCCAGCCCAGCCCTTTCATTTCTCTAAGGAAATGTATCAAGGTGAGGAGCTGACAGGCTATTATGACTTCCTAAATCAGAATTCAGTTTGTATCCTTCAATATACAGCTTGTCTTACTGAATCTCCTCAATGATATTCATCAATTTGATGCTATTCCTTCTCATTCCCTAAGTCACATCTAGACAAACGTTGGGAGTATCAGATCCTTAGGACTCTAAAAGTCATTTCAACATTATTATTATTACTTTTTAGAGACAGGGTCTCACTCTGTCACCTAGGCTGGAGTGCAGTGGTGCCATCATAGCCCACTGTAGCCTCAAACTCCTGGACTCAAGTGATCCTCCCTCTTCCATCCTCTGATTAGCAAGGACTACAGGTGTGTGCCACCATGACTGGGTAATAATTTTTTTGCAGAGATGGGGGTCTATGTTGCCCAGCCTGATCTTCAACTCCTGGCCTCAAGTGATCCTCTAGCTTCAGCGTTCCAAAGTCTTAGGATCACAGGCATAAGCCACCATGCCCAGCAGAATTATTTTTGACAACAGTTGTGGAGGCATTGCTAATTTCCTAAGTAACACATAAGCTTTACTAGCACTATGATTTTGCTCTCTGCAGGGGTTACACGTCTATTGTAACAAATATGCACTTTTAGAAGATAAGCAGAGCATGCTTGACAATATTTTCAAATAAGAAGAACTACCTTTTATTTGCATTTTTTCTATTTTTCAGGTATTCAAACTGAAGAAGCTATTCCTTTGCTTTCCAGGGTCAGATCATCTCTAGGAGCAGTGGGGTCATCTCTTAAGAAGGCAAGAGCCTTCACAGCCTGCAATACCTTATAGCTGGTAGGATCGTAAGTCAGTGCATTGCCAAGATGTTCGAATGCCTTCCAGTAAATGCTGAGCTTGGGGGAAAAAAGCAAGTAAGACAATTTACATGAGAAAAAGATGGCAGTTAAAAAGTCTGGCCAACCACACCCTGAACATAAATATCCTGGCTTTTTTTATTCTCTTGGGGGAAAAGAAAAAAAGGCAGCTACAGTTACCGGAAAATAAATTAAAAATCCCCACAGTCATGGTTTTCCTTCTATTTATGTTAATTTATCCCCCTGATAAAGTCAAAGTATCTATTTGATAGAAGCACTAGTACTGTTCTACATTTAATGTCTCTTGGCAGAAAATAAGCTGGGTAGCCTCATCTACCGTGGGGCCAACCTCCCAACCCAAAGCCCAGGAAGACCCAGAGTTAAGCTCCTAATTCCTTTTAAAGAAAAACAAGGCTGGGTGCAGTGCCTCTCACCTGTAATCACAGCACTTTGGGAGGCCGAGGCGGGCACATCACTTGAGGTCAGGAGTTCAAGTCCAGCCTGGACAACACGGTGAAACCCCGTCTCTAATAGAAACACAAAAATTAGCTGAGCATGGTGACGGGCACCTATAATCCTAGCTACTCGGGAGGCTGAGGCAGAAGAATCACTTGAACCCGGGAGGCAGAGGTTTCAGTGAGCTGAGAATGTACCCTAACACTCCAGCCTGGGCAACAAGGGTGAAACTCCACCTCAAAAAAAAAAAAAAAAAACCACAAAATAGACATAAAGGCAGAGTTGGAGGCAAAATCAGCTGAACAAGAAAATTGGCAAATGTGTATGTTGGAGATGAGGGAAAGGCCCCTTGGAGACCTGGGCACTGGGTCCTCAGCAAGAGAATCCATGAGCTAAAAGAATCCCATCCACATTCAGGAATGTGGAGGGTACTGAAGACTTCTTATTCTAGATAAAGTATACGTTGCCTTCTCTCTTTCCAGTAGAACCTTGGGTGGGAAGAAAGATCGACAGAAATGGCTTTGCCCCAAAGCCCTAAGAACTGTTCACTTGCATCAGTTTCTCTTTTCTCAACAAAATAACAACCCCCAAGACCAGAGTTATTTCTCATATATGCTCTTTCCTGGGTTACATAAGAATTTTTTTTTTTTTGAGATAGGGTCTGATTCTTTCACCCAGGCTGGAGTACAGTGACTCAATCTCAGTTCACTGCAATCTCTACCTCCCGAGTTCAAGCAATTCTCCCATCTCAGCCTCCCAAGTAGCTGGGACTACAGATGCATGCCACCACGCGTGGCTAATTTTTGTATTTTTTTATAGAGACAGGGTCTCACTATGTTGCCCAATCTGGTCTTCTACTTCTGGGATCAAGGGATCCACCAGCCTCATCCTCCCAAGGTTACAGGAATGTGGCACCATGACCAGCCTAGATGAGAATTATAGTTGCACTAGGCTAAAATAGAATTGTTTCCAATTTAAATGCAGAAAATTAATTCCTTTAGCAAAGAAAATCAAATAGTGTGTAGTTCATGTACTATATTTGACCTTTAGTAAAATAAATATCAAAATGCAGGAAAACCACCATACACACAAACCCAAAAGCATTTTTAACATCAACTCATGAATGAATCAAGAGTTTTAATTACCTATAAGTAGAGTAATCCTAAAGTTGTAAGAAGTTCTGTATTTTCTGGTGAGAACCTGCAACATAGAGATGTTCAGAGGGAAACAAGATATGGATGAGAAACACGGAGACACATGCACGGTAATGTGCCCTCGTGCAATACTTGACAGACTCCTCTGAACCTTTTACTCCCCATGGAAATACCTGAAGGCAATTTGGGAACTGCCATCAAAAGTAGGTCATCTCAACCCTGGCAACAGGAGGAACTGCTAAGCAAGAATGAAATGGGGCTTAGGGTAAAAGTTAAGAAAGAACCTATGGAATGTTTTACATGACCATCTTGATCACACAAATAAAATTAAAGAACAATGCTTTAAAAAGCAAGTCAGTCTAGAACACACACAGTTTCACCAGTCCTCTCTTAGTGGGATTTTCTCTTTCTTCCTTCCTTCCTTCCTTCCTTCCTTCCTTCCTTCCTTCCTTCCTTCCTTCCTTCCTTCCTTCCTTTCTTTCTTTCTTTCTTTCTTTCTTTCTTTTCTTTCCTTCCTTCCTTCCTTCCTTCCTTCCTTTCTCCTTCCTTCCTCCTTCCTTCCTTCCTTCCTTCCTTCCTTCCTTCCTTCCTTCCTTTCTTTCTTTCTTTCTTTCTTTCTTCCTTTCTTTCTTTTTATTGAGTCTTGCTCTGTCACTCAGGCTGGAGTGCAATGGCGTGATCTCTGCTCACCACAACCTCCACTTCCTGAGTTCAAGCAATTCTCCTGCCTCAGCCTCCAGAGTAGCTAGGATTACAGGTGCATGCCACCACACCTGGCTAATTTTTTTTATTTTCAGTAGAGGCAGGGTTTTACCATGTTGTCCGGGCTGGTCTCTAAGTCCTGACCTCGTGATCTGCCCGACTAGGCCTCCCAAAGTGCTGGAATTACAGGCGTGAGTCACTGTACCCAGCCAGAATTTTTTGTTTTTCTATTCTCATTGGGCTTACCATGCCAGGCAGCATAATTTTCCATGCAGTTTTGGAGCCTAAGGCCCCTAATGCTTCTCTCTCCACTTAAACAAAAAATTATACTAAGTAGCCAAATGAAACATAAGAAGGAAGATACATATCAATCCTAGGAAAGAAGGTGCTACTGACCTTTGGGAGTAAACACTGATCTAAGTAAAATATTACACCTGCCTGCTCAATCCCTCACTAAAATGTCTTTGTCACAGAACCAAAGCAACACTGAGTTGAGATGATCTGACTATAGCATCATCAGACAGTTTCAAGAGTAAAACACCAAAGAGCTATTAACAATGTCTCCTGCTTCTATGGAATACTATAGGGCACGGGTTACCTTTAGGGAAGCCTAAACCAGAAGATGCAAAGCCCCAGCCAGGGAAAGCATGAGCTGACCAAACAGCTTTCTCAATTCAGCTGAGAATCTGCCTTTTACTTTCTGCCATAATAAACATCCATTTTGATCACTTCCCTCCCCAATGCCAGGTAACTTCTTTAATTCTAGCAGTATCAGTTCTCCCACTACAACATAAATACTCTCTTCAAAGCTACATGTCATGAACAATGGTCTCTATCTTCTCAGTAAGGCTTCCAATTTTAGCTGTCCACATTTCTCCCTTGGGAAATTTAGTAACTGAAGTCCTTGATTGGTTACTGGAAGAATGTCCCCCTTGGGATTTATGTATCCTAATCTCAAAGAGCCAACCTCTAGAAGGCAGGGGTCAAGGGTCAGGGCTATTTCCTAGCATCACAGAGGCAATTAACATATTATATGGCTCCTTACTACTTGTCCATATCTACAGCCTCTTGATGACAAGTCTATTCTGTAGTTTAACAAACCAAGCAATTTTTCTGTCTTTTTAGACACAAAAATGTGGTTGAAGAAAATTGAGAAAGAGTGTTGTGATTAACATAACCAGAAAATTTACTACCATGGTAGAAGACAAAGATAATAAATCACGAGAAATCTTAAGTTTAGTTCAGAATCTAATTATTAGGAATAATAAGCCTTGAACCAGACTAGACATTCTATTAAGTGACCAAACAAATGACACAAAGCATTTTGTTAGAGCTATCCCATTTAAAAGAAAAAAACACAAGGCTGGTGCAGTGGCTCACGCCTGCAATCCCAGCACTTTGGGAGGCCAAGGCAGGCAGACCACTTGAGGCCAAGAGTTCAAGACCAGCCTGGCCAACATGGTAAAACATGGTAAAACCTTGTCTCTGCTAAAAATACAAATAAAAGTCCGGCATGGCAGTGCATGCCTGTAGTCCCAGCTACTCAGGAGGCTGGGGTATGAGAATCGCTTGAACCTGGGAGGCAGAGGTTGCAATGAGCTGAGATTACGCCATTGCACTAAATCCTGGGAGACAGAGCGAGACTCTGTTGAAAGAAATGAAAGGAAGCGAGGGAGGGAGGGAGGGAGGGAGGGAGGGAGGAAAGGAGAGAGGGAAAGGAAGGAAAGAAAAGAGAGAAAAGAAAGAAGGGAGGAAGGAAGGGAAAGAAAGAGAAAAAAGGCAGGCCGGCATAGAGAAAGAGAGAGAGAAGGAGGGAGGGAGGGAGGGAGGCAAAAAGGAGAAAGGAAAAAAAGAAACAAAGTAAGACCCCATACAGAAAATAGAAGATAGCATGTGTTTCCAGAGAGAAAATATGAAACACCATCATGGAAGAGCCAGTCAGTTCCATTATCAACAGAGGTTTGTATTACCCTAGCGATGTTTAAAAAAAAAACCAGGCACGGTGGCTCACGCCTGTAATCCCAGCACTTTGGGAGGCTGAGGCGGGCAGATCACGAGGTCAGTAGTTCGAACCATCCTGACCAACATAGTGAAACCCTGTCTCTACTAAAAATACAAAAATCAGCTGGGCATGGTGGTATGCACCTGTTGTCCCAGCTACTTGGGAGGCTGAGGCAGGAGAATCACTTGAAGCCGGGAGGCAGAGGTTGCAGTGAGCTGAGATCATGGCCCTGCACTCCAGCCTTGCAACAGAGCAAGACTCCATCTAAAAAAAAAAATTAGCTGGGCAAGTGGCACATGCCTGTAGTCCCAACTACTTGGGAAGCTGAGGTGGGAAGATCGCTTGAGCCCAGGAGGTTGAGGCTGCAGTGAGCTGTGTTCTCCACTGCACTCCAGCCTGAGTGACAGAATAAGATACTGTCTCAAAAAATAATAAAATTATTGCTAGATGCTTATTCCATACTTAGCTTCCCATACCATCTCCTTCCACCACAACCTGAATGTGGATGTTACATTCAGCATCAACCATGCAGGTAAAGACAACAATCTAAGGAATGAGTTAATAAGGAAGAAACCTGGATCTCTGGCTTACTCTGTAGAATAGAGCTGCCCAGCTAACCTAAAGCAGCAGCCATCCTGATAGGTAAGAAGGAAACACAGTCTACCTTACTGAAGCCATCGGGAGGTCTTAACTTAAACATCAGCTTTACCTTTAACTTATATATTAAGGAATTAATAAAACATATTCATTCTCTTAGGCTTGGGAGTTCATATATCCACTCAATTTTTTTTTAAGTTTCTCATTGTTCTAAAGGAAACAGATAAACTTACTCCACTACTTTCTTATAGATTTCAATGGTCTTGTGCAAGTCTCCCTCTAGCAAGTGGATCTTCCCCAGCATTATATAAGTCAGATCATGCCTATTAAGATTCAGGGCACTGTGCAATTGTTCTTGTGCCTCATAAGTTTGACAAAGTAAAGAAAACAAATCACTACCACTGAAAAAACTATAGCTTTATATGGCTAATATAAAGACAGATGTTGCTGTATTGACACAGGAACATCACATTTCAGCAAACAGCCCCTACTCCCCAAAGACTAAAACATATTAAGACTGTCTTTGTTGAAAAGACAGCTGGCAACATGGGATGACTGCTTCTTAATCTTTCTGAATGTTTTCTGCCTCATATTCACACCTATGACTCATATATCATAAGTCAAGAGACATCATACATAGTACAGTGTACAGTACTACACTACACTAAATCCCAGCTGCAACACTGACCAAGTGTACAACCTCCCATATGATGGGCCTCAATTTTCCCATCAATGTGATGATAAATGAATAAATAGATTGTTCTCAGTTATTTAGCCAAGAAATATTCATTGAGTGCTTGCTATTCTAGGTGCTAGATATATCTGAGTTAATAAAACCAACTCCTTGCTCTGGAGGAGCTTACCTCCTAATAAACAAAAGGGCTTTGTTTAGTCATTCACTAATTCAACAAGTATTTATGAAAGTGCCAGGTATTGTATTTTCCTAGCCTGTTAGCTATACAGTAAAATCTACATATATTTCTCCTCAGTACGGGTCCAAGCAAAGACTAATCCTTCTTCTCCTCCCCTGACTCAGAATATTCCTGTGAATAGAAATGTGGCTGTTTGAAATTGTCTCTGAAGAGAAAAATCTCCTAACCAAGTATAACCTTTATACTCCAATTGCTAAAGGGCATACTTTTTTACACCAGTGTGGGGCACGTTAAGTTACACTAGTCTGCAAATTGACACAAAATTAACATTGTCAAATGGGCACTAACCAATTCAGATTCTCAGTCCTGGTGGCATTGCAGAAAGGAGATTAAAACTTCATAATCACTAAGTGTGAGCTCTATGAAGGAAACTACCCGACGTTCCCATCACTAAGTTTTGGAGCTCTCAGTAATTTTGTCTCTTCCTCAATTACAAGATATACTTTTTCTTACCTGAATATCCAGGTAAGTTCAAATTGTTTTCTCTGATATAGGAGCCTACAGCTTAATCACAGTGAAATATAAATTATCATCATGGAAAATAACTAAAAAATTTAAACAGAAAACTCAGAAATCAGATCTACTTAAAATTTAAAATTTATTTTCAATGACCCTAAAAACTAAAATCAGTTGCTGTCAGGGCATCGCTCACATGCTCATTATTACACCTTTAAGACTTAAGAGTCTACTTTTTGATATTTATGTTTTATTAAGCATCTGTTTCTTTCACTGGGAAATTAAACCGGAGTTAGAGAAAAAGAAGAAAGGAGAAACATGCCATTCCCTCATATTTCTAGAACTTTCCATGTCCAT